TCAGTGATGTTTTAATGAATGCTTGTTAAAATCCTTGTTTCCCCCACAAGGCCAAAGCCATCTCTACTGGATGGCGCAAAGGTGACGTACGGTGGGCGATTTTCAGAGGAGAAGGTGGAGGAAGTGAAAGTGTTGGTTAAAATACTTCCTGTTTTCCTGGCACTCATTCCGTACTGGACTGTCTATTTCCAGGTAAGGTTTTTATGAGTGGGTGTCTCAAGTACTACGCCTTTCAGATCTGTTGTGTCAGTTATAGGTCCTTAAAAAATAGGGAAATATACAGGGAATGTATTTTTAAACTTACAGTAATTTACTGTAGTTGTGACAGAGGATGAATAGGAAATTGCATAGGTGTTTTATTAGCTTGAAGTCTCAAGGTGTCTCATACTGAAGGAGAGGCATGGTGGTGATGAACGGTGTCGTTGGCATGTCAAATACAAGTGATGAATGGTTATAAGCAGAGATTTTGTCTTTGACATATTAAGGGTTTGTGCCATTTGGAGCCTTTATGGGATGGGTGGGTTTAAAGCCCTTGAGCAGACAGGTGCTTCCTTGAAGAACTTTATATGTGCCTTGCTCAAGGTAATGCAGAAAGGACAAGCAATAAAGACTGGGACATCTCTACTACTAAAGCAGCGTTCCTTCAACAGCCGGCGTGGGGCCCATAACAGCTGAATTTATTTCACCTTACCACAGAAAAACAGAGGTTGTGTGTCAAACCACTCATAAAGTGTTTTGCAGATCTTTAAATACAGTTTGTCAACATTTCCATGTTCAAATATTTTCAAGGTCTGCCTCTCTCATTTCTGCATTCTACAACCACCTTAGTGAAATTTCCAGCCATTTTTCTTACCTTACTTCCCCCACAGAACACATTTAGATTATCGGAAGATGCTTGTCTGATCTAATGGACATTAAAGCGTTTAAATTAGTGTTTTCATTCATAACAGTTTGACAATAAAGAAACAGTTTGTATGAAAGTGGATGTAATGGATCTAATGTTTGAATCAAAACTGACCTTCAACAAATGTATTGAAATGTAATGCCTAGAAAAGGTTAGCAAGAATCTCCTGCTGATGTTTAAAGTTGGAAATGGTTTTTCAGAAGTTGAGTACAGTAGGTTTGTTTTTATGAGCTGTTATTTTAAATTACTTGCTGAAAGCAAGTCATTTCCATGTTCCGCCATTTGCACAATTATGCAAATGTTTTCAATCTACTGCTGAATATTCTAAAGCGGAAACGACAGATATATATTTTTTATGCTTACTGTTGTATTGGGTCGAAGAACTTCATATGCTGCTGGTTTCTCATAATAGAAAGAGCACAAATCACAGTTGAAGTAAAATGTTGTATTTATAGCAATTAAAATATAGCTAAGATTGATTATCAGGACAAATGATTGCAACTCAACTGTAACATTGGGTTTCAGGACATTGGTTCATAAAATCAACACTGTCCCAATTTTATCAGGATGTCTGGTCACCCATTTGTTTTTCAGACTGTGATTTCTGAAGATTAGACTGGTGGTAGCACTTAAAAAAAAAAAAAAATTACACTGTAAAAATCTCCACTCTAAGGATGCATTGAGTAATTTCCTGCGGTGAATGCAGCTTTTGTAGTAATGGTAAATTGCTGTGGGTCTGTTGGGATAAGGATCATTGTGTCGTAGTCCATCTCACGTGAAAAAAAAGATTCTCTTCCTTCAATTATGGCGAAAGGTCATCTTTTGAGGCCCTGTCATCCCATATGTTTTGTCTGCTGAGACACTTGCCAACTGTTAGAAAGGTTATCCGGCATTGTTAGTCCTTGGAGCCTTAAATTAAGGTTTGAGTAAAGGACAATGTCTCTAACTTTTATAAAAAAAATGCCTAATGAATTTCTGCATGAATAGATATTGTAGAATGTTCCCATGAAGCACCAAACTGCTTTTACTGGCTGAAATATTGCTACTTGCTATTTTCTTCAATTGCAATCAATAGCAATATTCTGCAACAATGTCTCTAAAAGTGGAAAATGGATCATAGTAGGCTGGTCAGTACCGCTGAATGAGATGTGAGTGCTGCCTGCATGTTTATGTGTGCTGTTGTCTTCACTTGCAGATGCAGACCACATATTATCTCCAGAGTCTCCATCTGAAAATTCCTGGAGCCGATCCCAACTCCACAGACTCCCATCCGGTAAGAGAACCACTATTTCAGAGCCAAAAATGTCAGATCACTTCCAAATTGGCCTGAAGAAAAATATAATTGCTTTGTTAATGAAGAGTTAAATTATTAAAGCAGTTGGCCTCCTTTTTTTTGCCTGTGCTCTGGTCACTTTCCTCATCAGTTTTCTCATAATTCTCATTCTGCTGTGCTATTAGGAAGCAACCGTTTCAATGTCACGGTTGTTTCCATTAATGATACATGTTCCTAAAAAATTAAACATGTCTTTGTAAAATGGATTTTCATTTATCTTTTTTCTTAACCATAAACAGTCTGATGGTTTAAGTGTAGTAAGGGTCAAAAAGAGACTTTCATTTAGATTTTTTTTTTTTTTTCAAGAAACCTTGAGTAATATTATAAGTGAACACTAAATGCAACAGTGTAAAAAACAATATGTTTAAATGACTTTTATTCTCAGGGTTAATTTGAGAGCAAACAGGATGCCTGTGGTGATGCCAGGTGCTTGTGATGTTTGTCTGGCTGTAGAGTAGAGGCTGTTTAGGATACTCTCTGGAGACTCTGGCATGCATGAGCTAGAGAAATCCTTTGAAAACCAGGGTATTCACTTCAAAACCATGACCCTCACTAATCACAGATTAGCACCCAGCGCCCGCTTTCTCATCTGAACTTGCTCTTTATTTGTTTTTGTGTGAGTGTGGGCGTACATGTATACGCTCTACTAGGTAAGTGTGTCAGAACCTTCGGCTTGAATTAAATCCCCTCAAAACGGTTTCACAGTGACTAATCCAAAATCACGACTCGCAGGCTGTCTGATCAGCAATGACAATGCAGTCACATGTTGCTCAATGACCATGAAAATGCATAGACACAAATGTAACTGGATGAGCAACTTGTGCGTTTGTGTGTGTACATGCCATTTCATGGCTGTCTGAAATGGAGTTTTCCAGAATTAGATTAAAAGTCACATGGTAAGGACAGAGGAAGTGCGAAAGGACAATGGGGAAGTGAAAAAGACGTTATTGGCTGTGTTAAATAACACATCGCTCGAGAGTGTGACTGCAGGGTCATATTGAAGAGACAGTTGTAAAGCACCTCATGCTCTTTAAATATAATTTTCCAGAGTACTTTCATAGTGGTTGTGTCATTTTCTGCTAACATTTAAAAATATGACATGACGTGAAAGCTTGTTTAATTTTATAAGATTACTTCTCATTGGGTGAATAAGCTTGTCTTGACAGGCTACAACTTTTTCTGTGATGAATGAATAAACAGTCCAGCATCTTCAAGCTTTTTTCTTGCCACTGAATTATCAATCAAAGGACAAGCATTCCTCTTTCAGTCTGATTTAGAAGGAAGATAAGTGTAGTGGTTGAAGAAGAGAAGTGAAAGACATTTCAACTTGTTGGACAAAGTTTTTTCTGTAACTATACAACACCACTTGTTTTTTCAGAAAATATGAGTGCTGCTTGCCTGTGCATAACTTGCTCACACACACACACACACACACACACACACATATGTCATGTTGTTATATGTTAAGCTGCTAAAAATCGCTTTTAGAATGATTTTACAGTATGTGGTTGATATTGTGTTCTGGGTGGTTGCTAAGGTGTTGCTAGGTGATTGTTTACTGGGATGTGACCCTTAGATTTGGTCCCGTCTTTGTTGTAAGTCTTACAGTGTTTTTTTCCCTTGCTGTTTTAATCATCCACCAGGTGAATCGGAAACTACATTTGCTTAGAAACATACTGAGCCCTGCACATGACATGCGGAAGAAAAAATAGATATTGTGGCCATTCATTTAAGAATATTTGTTCCCACAATGTTTTAGTTAAATCAAGGCCACGGTTTAACTAAAAAGAGGGAACAAATTAATAACTTGTGCAAACTAATTCTTAATTTGTGGCAAACGCAATTACAGTTATAAACGCAATTACACATCTTTCTTCAGCATATGCGTGTAAGTGTATTTTCATGCACAATTTTACAATGATTATGCTTTATTACATGACACCAGGTAATGTACATGACTTAAACAGTATTTCTTCCTGTCAGTTAAAGGTCACAAACAGTTTAAGAAAAAAAAAAACAATCAGCACACATAGATATTTGGCTGCAATAGATTTTTGTTCTGAAATATTCTGGGAAACTGGACCAAAAATATTGATGACTCAAAAAGGTCCTTCCCCAGCTTCCTGATTCAATAGAAATAATTTGACATTCTGTCCTGGGTATGATGGTGTTTCTCTGGAGTGCATGCTCAAGTGTGCAAATCCCCATCTGTCGCTTGTTCTCACACTCACAAGGGTTTCCCCTTCTAAATGAACATGTGCTGCTGTAGATTTGTCTCGGTGGACTGCACAGCCTAAAGGGAATCCAGTGCGAAGTCTTAATAAGGCCAAACTGTGAGCTCTTAATTAGGAAATATCCATTGAGAGAAACAGACACTAGTGGTAATGTGGGTGAAAATGATATGATGACAGAATGATGCAAACTGGCAATTTCAAATGGAGAAAAAAGTATTTAAACGTGCACGATGATGAAGGGGAGACAGAGCGCTCGGAGGGGCATGTATAAATTACCAGTGCTTAGTCAAAGAAATGTAAATGTAATGAGGGAGTAAGCTGGAGAATTAAAAGTGTTAAAACCACCAGTAGATTTGGGACTGACTGAAGCTGTAGAATTAAATTCAAACATGCTGACTGAGACACGCGCTTCACTTAACCGACTAATACTCTACTGGAGGTGTAAATGTGTGTGTGATATGCCCATGCACGCCTGCAGGCATGGATGCATAATAAACCTCTCTTTGAGCTCCGGCCGTCTAGTCCTCAGGTGTTGCATTTCACAGGCGTTATTTGATTAACATCAATTAAAACGTACAGATGGCGAAATATTGTACAGGGTGTTTGAATTAATTACAACCAATCAGATCAAAACAAGAATGGATTGGGCTGTTTTTAACTTTTGCTAAGTGCATAAAGCTGGATCTGCCCAAATCTGCTCATTCAGATCATCAAACCCTGTCTGTGCAGGAAATGATGACAGATGGATTTCTTGCAGCGGCCAACGTGAACTACACTGATAATCAGTTTAAATTGGTCATTCCTTCATTGGTGGATTTGACCACACATTTGTGTCGCATCTGCTACGTGCTGTATATGCACCCTGGATATGAATTATACCTCAAATTTTATGGCTTTGTAAGTGATCAGACCGAATGTACAAGAAAGAAAAATACTTTTTTAAGAGGAACTCATTTCTAGTGACCAGAATATCATAGAAACTTGGGTGTGGGCTTTTTTGACTTGGGCCAGTGAGCAAGAACGCTCAGAAAGCATTGGCAACTTCATAGCAACCCCCTGGCATCCACCCAGAACACCATAGCAACAGTGAAAGCTGTGTTCTGATCAATAAGGTCCATATGTAGTGTTCATTGCTTTCTACACCCTGGACATGGGCTATCTGTTGAATTTCACTTCACTTGACAAAATGCGTTCATTTGGAACACCCAACAAAGTCATCAAACATAGATGACACTTGAGAGCTGTGATGGCATAAAATGCTTCGGTAAATAATGTAAATATGTTCATTTAATAAACGTGTAGAATGCATATGTGTATTTATATAAATATGAGTGATTTATTAATTTAATGAATTATAAATGTCTTATTTTAAAGCCTAACTGAGTGATAATCATCTGATGTTTAATATGGAAATAAACGTAATTTAGTTATATTAGATGTGTCATTTATCTTGTTTAACCATAATCATGATGCATGTTGCATTGTAACTGTTCCGGCTCTCACACTTTATACCCAACCATATACAAACAACACCTGGGACTAATTCAACTCTCTTTCACGGCCTTTATTTTAATCAAACTTCTTTAAATACTCGGTTGATGTGCAATGACTGCTGGGTAATTTCCCTCTCCACTTCCTGTGAAGTCATGTATTGATGTTCCCTTATTCCCTTATGCCCTTCAAACTGAACATGTTCACTCCCTTTAAATTGGAATTTCTCATAAAATGGCACAATACCCTTGTTGACACCTTTAGCAACCACATAGCAGTGTGCCTAAAACGACTGAACACCACTTAGCAACCTCTTGGCTACCACCTGAGTGACAGTAAGTTTTGCATAGGCAAACCCTACTCAAAAAAATAGTTCCTTATTAATGCAAATGCTTTTTTCTTTGTCAAAACAATCCTAAATTCCCAAATCAGTCATTATTTCCAAATAGTGCTCTTTTAGGTTATGTACTTTTTTTCCCATCACGCATCAGCAGCATGTGAGTGGAGCAATCAGCCATTTATGAAACAGGTGCTCAGACGCATGCTATTCAATCCCCATGTGATATTAAAATACTTAAGAAGTGATTAATTAAGACCGATAATTCTCTGGACAGGGAGAAAGAATGACCTCAAAATGTCGCATTGACCAGCATTGGCCACATGAGGGCGCTAAGGTTGCTGGAATGATTCAGTTTCCTGCTATCTCTCTTTTTCGCAAATGCTCTCCCAGAATTCACATTTAGACTTGTACTTACTTTCTCAACGGAGGATAAATGGAGAAGAATGAAGCGCCTGAGTATTATGAGTGACCTGCACATACCTTTCTTCCTGTTTGTTCATCCTCTAGTGTTTTGTAAACATGAGTCATTATGTTCCCCTGTTGTTCCCAGAATGCCTTCCGCTTCCCGGCAGCTTGGCTGACCATGTTTGATGCCGTGCTGATCCTCATGTTGATCCCCCTCAAGGATAAAGTGGTGGACCCCATCCTCAAACGCAAAGGCCTGCTGCCCTCCCCTCTAAAGAGAATCGCTGTGGGCATGTTCTTTGTCATGTGCTCGGCGGTGGCAGCTGGTGAGTCAACAACACATACACTAAATGACACATTTTTAGTGTATTATCAACACACACAACAAAGATTTCTGTGAACCTATGCTTTTTGTTCTTCAGCTTGCACTCTTGCCATACAAAGT